CTTCACCACATTTGCTTATGCACACATTTGTCTTCAGCGATCATGTCAGGAAGGTGTGCATCATGGAATGCCAATTTAATAGAACAACATGTTCTTGCATTGAGTAGGTGTTTGAATGGAGTTCCAGTGTCCATCTGCTGCCTTAATACAAAACCTAAAAATATATGCACATAGATCTATTTACCCACCATCCAATATAAATATATTTATATATGTACATGCCTATATTTAGACCTCTATAAATACCCTTTGTCTCCTAGTTCTTTCCTCTATTTCCTTTTACTTTCCTCTTGTCCCACTATCATGCTCAGCCTTCATTTGTGAGGGGGAGGCAGGGATAAGGAGGTGGTGTTGACCAACCCAGGGACAGGGGAGCAACAAATGATCCAAAATTAGTGGCGAGGATGTGAGAGACCTGGTAGGGATTCAGCAAGTGCAATGTAACCGAGAGATATTACTGAAACCCAAATGAAGGCTGAGCTCGATGACTATTTTTATAGAAACATTTTACTAAGTATCGCTTGCATATAGAAAACATAAATTGTAATTTTCATAGAGGATGAGAACTCATGTAACCAGTACTTAAGAAAACCTATTTGTTGACTTATATTTTGCTTGATTTTGAACTTTATATAAGGAGGATCATAGGATATATACTCACTTTGGCTTCTTTCCTTCATTATGTTAGGGAGCTGTACTTTGTTCATTTTTTCATTTACTACCGTATGTATGATTCCATTTTATGAACATGCCATAATTCCTTATCTATCGTACTGTAGATGGACATTTGTATTGTTGGCCATGTGGTCCTATTATGAGTGCTTTTGTTAGGAACTTCTGTTTGGGCACACACTTTGTAAACACTTAAGTTTAAAGTCAAAGCCAAACTTACTGCCATTGAATCAATTCGGATGCATAGCAACCCTATAAGAACAGGGTAGAATAGCCCTGTCAGATTCCAAAACTATAAATCTTTGTGGGAATAGAAATCCCTGAAACGTATGTCTACTGGGTACCTAGATAGGAAGGTAGAATTGCTGAATCAATTGGCTAGCTTTGATAGGCAACAGCTAAACAATTTTCCAAAGCTATTGTACCAGTTTTCATTCCCAGCAGCAGTATATTAAAGTTGTTCTTCGTCCTCACCAACACTTGACAGAATGGCCTGTCTTATTAATTATAGCCATTTTTAACATGGCAGCATAGTGGTATTATACTGTGGTTTTAATTTGCATTAAAATGCATGAATTTGCATTTCTCTGATTATCAGTGCTGTTGGGCGTCTGATTTTCTGTCCAGAACATATTCCTCTTGATCTTAAACATGAACCAAGGTTGCCAGGTGACAGGAGCGTAGATGTTTTTGTAAATGCCTTCTCGGCCTCCTAGTACTTATGATCCGGGAGATGCTGGGGGAAATTGATTGAGCAAATCTAAATGGGGATCCATAATCAGGTTTGAGTGTTTTATCTGGACCACTAGACAAATGGTGGTGGTTTTTCTTTGGGATGGCGGCTGTCAGCTAAGCAGAGACTGCCAGTTTTCTAGCAGCAGTCAGTGCTGCAATAGGATGCCATCCTGAGCATGAATTGTGGCTCTAGATAGCGGGGATCCCACTTCTAGTTTTGAGGTTTCCTGATTGTGAAACTTGGGGCAAGTATATGAACACAGGCCTTTTTCTTATTTGTAAAATATAGATTGAGAATAGCATCCATCTAGGGTACAGTGAAGATTCAATACTTGTGCTTTGTTACCGTTAGGTGCCCTTGACTTGGTTCTGACTCATAGTGACCCTGTGCACAGCAGAATGAAACCCTACCGATCCTGCACAATTGTTGTTATCTGGAAGCCCATTGTTGCAGCCGCTGTGTCACTCCGTCTCATTGAAGATCTTCCTCTTTTCTTCTGCTGCCCCTCCACTTAACAAGCTTGATGTTCTTTACCAGGGACTAGTCTCTCCTGATAACATATCCAACGCACGTGAGATGGAGTCTTGCCATCCTTACTCTGAAGGAGCATTTTGGCTGTACTTCTTCTAAGACAGGCTTGTTTGGTCTCCTGGTAGTCCATGGTACTTTCAATATACTTGGCCAGCACCTTAATTCAAATGCATCAAGTCTTTGGTTTTCTTTATGCATTGTCCAACTTCCACATGCAAATGAGGCCATTGAAGGGGCACCATAGTTCTCAAAATTAAATCTTTGCTCTTTAACATTTTAAAGAGATCTTGTGCAGCAGATCTGCCCAATGCAATAATATGCCATTTGACTGATGCTTCTATGAGCATTGATTGTAGATCCAAGTAAAATGAAATCCTTGACAACATCAATCTTTGCTCTACTTACCATGATATTGTTTGTTTGTCCACTTGGGAAGATTTTGGTTTTCTTTACATTGAGTTGCAATCCATACTACAGGCTGTAATCTTTGATTTTCACATAGTCTGGTAACTAGTATGTGTTCAGTAAGTGTTAACATTTGTACTGGTATATTAGTATTATTACTACTCATTAAGGTCAATTCCTGCTCAGGGTAAGTGCCTTTAAGATTGTATCCCCTACATTGGGCTGACTTACTTTAACCTCATGCATCATTTGCCCTGGGTTTCTGCTGTCCTCAAAACCCACCATAGCCTGTTGTGCCTCATTAAGTTACTATGACAGCAAAGAGGCAATGGAGTGACAACAAAGGAACTGAACTGGTCCTCGGGCCAATTTCAGCTACCCCAGGTTAAAGATGGGGAAAGATAGATACCCAGGTTCTTGATGGGCAGAAGAACTGAATTTTTGTTTGAAGAATGGATTTTATTCAGGGATGACTTTACAATAAAGTACACAAAATCTTAAATGCTACCCAGATCAAGATAGAGAAGAATTCCCTCCTCCCAGGGGCTTCCTTGTTCCTCCTCAACACTCCA